GATAAAAAAGATAAATAGGTAGGTAAGGTGCAAAGAGTTGTAGTTGCAAGATGGTGGTAATAGTACTGATGACATGATGGTAGTGTTATTGTTAATTGTTATTGTATTACATTTTATATAAAGGTGCAGGGACCATCAATATGTTTCTTTCAATATCTAATCTAGTAATCAATGTGGACTTGTTTACAGTGCACAACAGCTTGATAAATGTCCAGTAACTATTTGATTTACCTGCAGAACAATTTGAAAATAAATAAATACATAATGACAAAGACAAATGTGTGTTTGTGGTTTCTGGAACTGCAGGCTAACAATTAAAATCACATGACTCCCATTAGCCTGACAGTCACATTACTGTGTGGTAAACAACTGTATCAAAAGGGTCTTATGGTGGGTCCGGCTTTATTACCTGATCCTTTAACTAAGACAAAGACCTTTATTATTTCAACTGATATGTGCATTTATATTTTACTTGTTTGCCGTACAGCAAAACTTGTTCAATATATTATTCCCTCAGAGAAGTACTATACAAACCAAAGAGAGGAGGAGGAACAGGAGGTTAAAAGGCCCAGTGGCTCATTTCTATTAATAAAACCATGATGGTCAAATTGATTGTTCTACTCAACTTCTGCTGGCCTCTAACGAGATATCCTCGTCATAATTTGGATTAAAAAGGACTGAGGTCATATCATATCATAGTATAGCTCAACCCAACTTCTAACCCTCTGAAGTCCTGCCCTCTAAATCACCACCCACATCTTGGATTTATTCAGCAAAGCCAAAGTGAAATTGTACTTCAGTGTGGTTATCAGGCCACTAATGACCAGGGGTCAAGCATAGCAATGAAAGCATTACACGGTCTGTACTGTAGGTGGCTTTTCAGATGGACTGTAGCCCACGAGGTCCTTTTACCATCAGCATTTAAACCACCAGCTTAAAAGAGGGCCTGCAAATAATTACCTTTTCTAATCGTTGTGCTTTCAGTTTTACTGCATCTTTTAATATATTCATTTGAAAGATTAAATATCACACAAGTGTCCTATTAAAATATTTGTACACAAACAAAAATGAGCTCACGAGTATATCACAGCCATATAAAACATATTTTAAGAGGGCAGAACAAAATATAAGAACAGGCATAATTAAACAGAGTGCTTTAACACTTGTCAAAATGATTAACAAGGCAATGGATTTGGACTGAGGCAAAAAATCACTTTGCATTTATGATTTAGTGAATAGACTTACTGGCAATAATAAAGGGAAAAAACATTTACTTTCTTTATTAGAATGATCCAATTTATTTGCATGACTATATTCTTTTATCATTATTTTATATGAATGTGTATTTATTTGAATGAAAAGCCATTGAAACTGTTGTCTCCCTACGAAAACAGAGACTGACAGCATCCCCATGTGGATCGACAGATGACCTGCACTCTTTTACAATCATACTGTCAACACACTCAATCTGGACTTTAAATGTCTCATAAGGTCCAGCTCCTCATCAGATTTCTGTCCATCACTGAGCAAATTAATGTCTTTCTTGAGATATTTTCCTCAGTGAAATCTAATGTTTCCAAAATATTGAATGGTTCTGGTTTTACACATGAGACCAGACAGTTCTAAATAGAAATAGAAATAGAAATGTTTGGTAATGACTGACTTTAAACACACAGAAATATAAAAAAAAGCCATTTAGCCTCAAACCTTTTTCATATTCCTGCTATATTGTTTACTCCAGACGTTATGAAGCAAAATGGTGTATGGACTCTCAGATAAGGAGCGTTTTTAAACACTTGTACTACATTATATAATTGTTCCTCTTTATTAAAAAATTAATTAAAGTTAATATCTACAGCTCTCTGACAACAACTGGTAAAGTTGTTTGTAAGATGGAAAAACATTTTAAAGTTCTGGTCATCTCTTGAAAAAAAACACACACTTTAAAGAGCTCATGTTCCTAAAGACTGATGTGAAGTGTGAATGTGCTGATTTATTATTGAGGAGGTGAAATATAATATAGCTGACAGGTTAACAGTAGATTGTAGTTCTTCTCCAATGCCTGCAGATCTTGTGGCTTCGTCTAAACTACGATCATCTCTGGAGAAACCTGGACGAACTCCTGTTTGAAGAGTTGTTTGTGAAGGAAAGAGAAGAGAGACTTAAAGACAGCATCTTAATGTAGTGGAGTAACTTTAACGCTGCCCTTTACCACTGCAGCTGATTTGCATGTATTGCCACCTTGTGGACAACTACTGGAACTGGACATGGTACAACTGTATGTATGAATGAATCCATGAATGAAGAATGAAGGAATAAAATAGCATTAATAAAAATTCTATACACTCAAAAGCCTCAACGGGTTTTCTCTAAAATATTCTTCTTAAATGAGGTGAAATATATATTGTATGTATGTTTTAGTCTTGCACACATGCAGGGAACTTTCCCATCGTTAAGGGTCATGGTTGTTTTGAAGAGGTATGAGCAGCATGAGTATGTTTACTCTTAATTTATGCCCTAAAATATTTGCCCACCCTGTGTTATAAACAGTTACATGTAAGACTACTGTACTTAACTTCTGCAGCTTGACTTCAGGGAGCGAGGATCATTATAAAATTAAAATTAGCTCCAGAAGAGGTGCAGATTGTGCAATCAATACTGGCCCACAGAGGGGCGAGACAACTAGATCATTAGTTTGAGTAAAATATTCCTTCAATATTCAAGATAATTGGACAACTATATCATGCCTTCACCAAATGTAAGGGGGGGGGGATCAGCTCACAGAAGACAGAGGGGACTCATAAGTGGGTATACTCAGTACAGACTGATAAATGAATAGGTTTACCTGTTTATATACTACATCAGTGGGTATGAGGCCAATTATTCTAATAAGATGGATGCACTTCTTGTCATTTTAAATCATCCTACAAGAGGTGTCACCAAGCTTTTTTCTCTTCTCTTCTTGCCTTTATTTAAAAAATAAGCTGACAAACACTGCACGCTCTACATATTACAATGATGGCAATGTCAACTGATCAATTAGTGCATTTTATCCAGCACGTTGGACGAATACTACCATTTATTGTCCCCAGAAGATAAATCCTAATTCTCTTTGAGACACAACCATTCAACCATCAGGGTAAAATGCTAATTGTCACTCAATTTACTGAACATGCTCCAGAGAAATTGATCTCATCTCTCTTCATCTGGATCACTCAGACACTGGCCTTTCTTGTAGCCACTCTGAGGCCAAAGTGTCAGTTTACAGTAACATGCTAAGATATGATCTGATAGAAAAGTCTGATAGGAACACATTCACGCTCCCAAGGGGATAAACCCTTTTAATCTTTAATGCTCTCATTTCCTGCAGCACCACTTTATTTAATCCCACTATCAGTAAGATGATAAAAAAACAGAAAAAGTCGTGGTCCTGGAGTTGTTGTACAGCTTATACAACTCTTACTAACAGCTCCAAGTGAAAATATTGTACCTTGTCCTTGGTGGTGTTTTTGCAGTCAATATCTTTACTGAACTTTTGATACACAAACAGAAATCAATCAGTAGCAAAGGGGAAGGCTATGGCATACATTCAAGAAACATAGGGGAGAAATCACATCCCTGTATCCAGTACAGCACACTTATATTATATACATACATACATATATGGCAGTCTGTCCATAGCAAATCTGTTATGTATACGCACATTAGGTTGTTTCCTAACCGTGATCCATCCTTCATCACTTGACTCCCACTGCTAATATTACTGATATTATCCCTCTCTCTCTATCCCTCTCTCTCTCTCTCTCTCTCTCTGTCTGTCTCCCTCTCTCTCTATCCCTCTCTCTCTTTCTCTCTCATTCTCTCT